AGGACAGCCTGCCTATGTACTCGAGAAGCCATAAGCAGTCCCCAGATGGAGATGTCTGCTTGTATCTTCTTCAATTATCTCAATACGGCCTCATCCTCGAGTTGCTTTGGGAGGCAGAGTTGGTGCCAGCTATCACAGCTGGCACAAAATATCTACATAAAGTAGATGAATAGTGGTCGGCTGCCCAAAAATGTCATGTTGACAAAATTTAGTGCCGACCGGCAACAAACAGTGCCGACCGGCAATAAAAAGTGCCGGTGGCATCAAAAACCAGCCGGTGACCTTTAGCCACTGCCGGTGGTGTGTGGGGATGCCTCACAAGGCATTCCCTGCCCCTCCAAGGCAAGATGCAAGTGTTTGGTGCAAAACCAGACACTTAACGGTCGAATTCGGAGATCCTGAGGCAAGGCGCGTAGCCGAGACCTCCGGGAACTCCAAACGAACACAATCATGGATGATCACCGGGTGTTCAAACGGTGACGTCCAAGTCTTGAGGACGGTCAAAAATGGGGTGTCTACAGGAGCCTGTTTCACCGGGTAGTGTTTCCCACCCTTTCTCATTTGTGGTTCTCACACCACACGACCCTCAAGCTCTGTTTTTCTGAAAAAGCCCTATTCTCACTTTTCCTCTCATCGCACATCTCTCTATTCTTCAATCTCTCATTTTTCATCCCTCCCCTGGGTGGTTGATGGATAAACAGCAAATTGTGGGCTCGTGCCCCTAGCATTCTGCTAGTTTCTCTTTCTTCCACTCACAGCTAGTGAATTCCTCCCACGGAAAGGTTGCGCTACAACTGGGTGTGTAGCAAATCTGCAGCTAACATCAGTTGATGATGCTTTGCTGGGGAGTTTGGACGTGATCAGATCATTCCAGTTCGTGCTTCACACTTTGCTTGATACCTCGTTGCTTGGAGGATGTGAGAGCTTTCTGCCTTTTGTTGTGCCCTTTTCTGGCGAATGCGGTGCCTTTTCCGACAAGTAGAGTGCCCTTTCTGGCAAGTATTTTGACAAAGGGGAAAAAACAGAACACCTGACTCAACTGTGCCCCTGGTTCATCATTTTGACCATTTTTTGTTTTTGCTTTCTACTAAAACGGTTTTGACCAACATGAGAGTTAGATTAACGCGCTTGTTCGATTTTCTGATTTAAAATCATGCAAGTTAGGCTATGAGCACTGAGAGTTTTCCTTTTTTGGGTCCAAGAAATGGTCCAGTTTTGAAAAATGGAGTACTTTTTGAGAAGATTAGTCAACCTCAGTAAAAATTCTCAAAAACTATTTTTGCAAACGACCACTGCTCAACGATACTCTCGAG